ACTACCAATTATTTTGCAGGTGATACGGACAACTATTGTGATTTCTCGATCTGACTCCGTGATTTCGCTCATCAAAACATTGAATTTATTGTTTTTTAAAGTTTGTTAAATAATCCTTTGTTACTTTAGTCAGCTACAACTCGCAGCTTGATTTTGCAACTATGCAGCTGGCAAAACTTTCAGTTGCCTTGACCAATGCTGCATCGCCTGTCAGTCAGCTTACTGGTAAGCACGTCATTTATTATGCTTCTTGAATAGATTGTCAATAAATTCTGCTAAGAAATGGCAACCTCTGTAAAACCGCAGCATCTACATCGGTGGGATGTTCTGAATTCAGAAAAATAACCGAGGAGAGAAAGCGAATTATGAAAACTGTAATTATGTGAAAAGGAGACTATTCACGTTGAAAGTCTACATCCAATTCGCTCAGAAAGGAAATAACAGAAGTTATGATGTTCTAGAACACGCTTGTAGTGTCCCGGAGGAATTCTGATAACCAACCAATATTACCTGTAAAACTTCTGACAACCATTCGCTGCTATCCTTAAAATTCTCAGAAACAACTTGCTGATTCCTCTAAAATTTTTGCAACTTGCTGCCTGCATAGTTTTTGGCAACCAATCGCCCATACTTTCGAAAATTTTTGGCATTTATTTGTTGCTGTCCCAAAAATCCCCAACAAACACTCGCTGACTACTATTGGAATTGTGGGCAATCATGTCAACAAATTCCAAACAAACAGACACGGAATGCAAGTTGATTGGCGTTTTTTAGATGTATTTTTTGTTTGGTCAACTGCCAAGCAACTAAATTCCATAGCGAAATTTCAATGCACATATAATGTCGCTGGCTAATAATAAGGCTGCCAATTGGAGCCGTCTGCTGGCGTAAGGCTTCCAGTGATCAAAAGGAAGATGTCAACGATCCACCACAAGCCCAAGCCGCCCAACGTCATCAGCTTCCCAACAGCAATTGCCGAATAGCCAAGGCTAAAACGATCCACAGCAAAAAGGCCAAGAAATATCGAATAGAGCAATGTCGTGAGAAAATAATGACCCGTGTATCTGCAAAAATAATCATATGATGAACATTGTCAAAATTGGGCCGTCCCACTGTATACACTCTCTATGAGAGGCTGAGGTACTCCGAAATATTCCCAGCGTAGCAAGTACCAACAGCAACCATCCACTGGCAAAAACTGTCGAGGCTCCAGAACCAACTGATGAGCTCGTATCGAAAGAAACTATTCAAGCATGCGAGAGCACAAAACGGCTTAAGAACTAACACAATACTAATTGCTAGAAGAATGACTACGGTTTCCTCTTCAAGAGTTACTTGAAAGGTAAGCTCAGGGAGTTTAGAGTTAAACAAAAAGTTGGCTTGAACCAGTAAGTTGAAAATTCAAAAGTACGTCAGGTCTACTCATAACTGACAGCTTTGCTTCTCATACTGTACGGTTGACGACTTTTCAAGTTGCCTTGACAAGTGCTGTTGGACTTCTGATGTTTCTACTAGTAAGTGTGCCAATTACGAAAGATTTTAAGGCTAAAGAATTCACAGTTAATAAGTAAAAAGGCATACTTAATGCAAGGAACTTTCCTTAAGAAAGTACGGGGACCGCGACATTCGATGCACGGCAACACTCGACATGTTACATTCGTATGTTCCACATTCTCATAACGGGTGCCTCCCCAAGTGAAGCATGCGCCATCTACCTTAAAACCAGCAACCATTACTAATCGCTACTTCACTATCATGGTGATGAAAACTAATAAATTAATGAGCGAAGAGGCGAACAAACAGACAATGGAATACAGTCATGAGAATAACCTTCGTATTATTAGCTGAAGGAATGGATGAAGCATCAACTGGCGCGTCACAGTCAATCCACCTGAAACCAAAAACTGCAAAATATTTCATCAGTCCCCAAAACTATCTCAGGAAAACTGATTTTGTCGAAATCTTCCGAAGAGCTGAGTCCTATGTTAGCGCATGGATCCACAATTCATGAGTGGTAACGCAAAATGTAGTACATTTAGAATATAACAAAAAATTTCCAGAATTCCTAAACGATTAAAAATCGAGAAAACAATGATCGCTCGGGTGCCCTGTGTTAATGATGCTGTTGTGTTGCTCTCACACTTCGGGCGCAGCTATGCTAGGTGCTTCGATCTTAAACTACATCCAGCTTGCGCTTTCAGCCAACGTATGAACATTTAACAGATAATGCGAAGAAATTTCACGTCCAAATCACCAAAAACCAAACGCAAGCAGCAGAAGTAGCTAACCTTTCATCAAGAAAACTGCACGGTACAAGTGGTCCAGTGGGATTCAAATCAAAGCCTTCCAGTTCGCAGACACCGAAACTGTCGCTATCGGGCAGAAGAGGCGTTGAAATGACGGCAGCAATCACAATGTTCCCGTGCTTCTGTCCTTTTGGTATGGAAACTGGATTTGTTTGAATCGCAAAAGCCGGGATGAAACTGCTACAGATCGTCACTAACACAGTGTCCACATGCATCCTGAAATTTAATACAAATTAAAACAATG